GCGGTGATGAATAAAGCTTACATAATATTGTTAGAAACCCCAATTATAACAAAATCAAGGGTATGATGTGTCGCACCTTGCAAATGTTGTTTCAAGTTCTCTGGAAATGACCATGACCAGAATTACAACATGATTCTAATTGTGAAGAGAATTCAGTCAAAAAGTATAAAGCGATCCATTGGAAACAAATTATTAGACGATATATGGTGAACATTCATTCTGTACCATTTCATCTGATTGGCCAATCAGTGGTGACAGCCATTTCATCTGATTGGCCAATCAGTGGTGACAGCCATTTCATCTGATTGGCCAATCAATGATGTGATAATAGATGCTCTTAATTGGGTGATGGGCGGTCATTTAGAGGCATCTCCTCGTGTTATTTGTTGTTTTTTTCGCAAAACCACAAAGCAAGTTGAGTATATACAATATTAACACACACACCTCACTACTCGAACTGACCCTGCAGTTAACGAGCAGTATAATCTAGGAATGGGAGATTATATTTTAATTGACAGGGCATAGAAAATGTTGTACTGAGACTGTCCAACCAATGAAATACATTGTTTTAGTTTTTTTGGTATGATTGAAATTTCAAAAGCATGAGGCATTTTCTTGTTGTGGTATTCCATCGTCAAATTCTTCATACTCATTCGTACAGCAGTCCCATCATTTAAAATATGAAAGTTACACTCAAATTCTATTGGAGTTATGCTTGTATTCAGTCTGAATGTTCTATTGGTATATGCAATTACACTAAAACAGAAAACGTCAAGGGCTTACGGCACTACGATTATCTCATATCATTTACTCCAGAAAATAAGCGTATATTTAATGCATCCGCTACTAATATGTCAAAGAAAGTAGCCAACAAATACACGAACGGCAAAATGCGCCTATTGTGTTGTGATGAAACCAGCAACGACATACATCATGTAATCATCGAATACCAGGAGTCTATTTCCATTGAGTTTAAAGATAGACCGAACATAACGCACTCCTCCATGGCTCTAGTGAACGCCCAGAATTATTCACAGCAATGGATGAATGACTTTTCAAGTAGGCTGGCAATTTTTCAGAACATTAATTAATTAACACTCGTCTGTATAACTAATTTCATCTTCTACTCTGGTGTCTTTGACATAACACATTAATTTACATGATAGCCAGTAAACTAACTGTCGCGGTCTCTTTAGTATTGGATTGGTACACATGGGTACACATTCTTCATGCATGTACGTGAGGACACGTCGCAGTGCTCTTCGTCCACTCACACGATGACACACATAACATAATTGGACAACTGTTAATTTCATTACTTGATTTTATACTCATACAATGCTTCTCAATTTATTAGTACACGTGGGTGCTTATATTGTCCATTTTGTTGGCTTCTCGATGGGTGCAAACTTATTGTAACATTTGGGTGAGACCAGCCCACTTATTCACACAGACACAACACACACCATATACCAACATATTAGGCCAAAGGCACACGCTGGCGATAAATATGCAGTGTTTGGATAATGTAATGATAGCAGGAGGATGTCTTGTCAAGTCGCTCTGCTAAAAATCCTGTTTTCAGGTCATTTAGATCTTTTTATAATCTACGATGTCTTTAATGAGATATTACATTACTATGAAATGTAATTATGTATTTAGGGCATTTTAAGGTATTATAGTGTGAAGCCATTTTCCAGTACAAATAGATAAATAATTAAAAGTGTCATTGGCGTTTCAAAAATATAGAAATATATTTAGCCTATCAATAAGATATTTCATCTTTCAATGAATTTTTCTGACATGTTACATTTTCACATATCATTGCAGTGATAGGTCAATGAAACATGACCATATTACATTGCATTGCATCGTATTATACTGTATTACAATAATATCGCAAATTAAAATGTCATCTTGTATAGTTACATTAAAAATGTAAAAGTTTGGTGATGAATAGAATTTTTTGATCAACGATGGATTATTACAAAATAAAAATTCCATGTGTATTTAATGTAATGCTGTGTAATGCTGTATTTAAAAAAATGATAAATCAATTGACAAACCCAGCCCACTGGAGATGCGTGGACCGAATTTCTGAATCCGACAATGTTATTCATTATGATCGAACTGTGGTGCATATTACTATACGATCCATTCTGAATTTATAGAATAACTCTTTCACTACTATTGCAACTAGGTATAATAATCTCAATTTCAAGGTTATTCGTTTTTTTTAAACATCTGCTGTAAGGTATTACTGAAATCGAACTCTGTAACTCTCATGGCCAACATTACTTCATACATTACAGTCATTCAACAACACAGTAAAGAGACAATACCCCTTTCATGAGTGACTGTAACCTCATTCTAAAGCCTAAGCCAAAGTTACTTTACAACCATCTATCATCTCAGACAAACAAGGCACCTTTTATTCAGTTGTCATGTCCTTGGCCGGAATTTACGACCAAATCTTAAGAATACTGAAAGTATAGATAATTTCATGCACCGATAAAGTCACTGAATGTGCTAACCTGCTTTGATGGACTACCAATAATTCATATAGATCACTAGCCATGTTTGCAGGTCCCACGCAAAGTTGTATGAGATTTGTATTTGTCAGCAGTTTGTTTATATACTACATGAATATGT